TGGTTCACACCGACTATACTCCACTGGGTTTTCAATGGTTCACCCAGACTATATACTCCACTGGGTTTTCAATGGTTCACACCGACTATACTCCATTGGGTTTTCAATGGTTCACACCGACTATACTCCATTGGGTTTTCAATGGTTCACATAGACTATAATCCATTGAGTTTTCAATGGCTAACATTTTGGAAATAAAATCAAGTCTTTCTGCTGAAGTACCTGCAAGTGGACTCAAACTGCCAACCCTCTGGTTGTTTAACTGGAATTATTGTTAACGGGTAGTTTCCATTTGGCATAATGGAAAGGTTATGGAAATGGTGATGATTATACAACATTGTGAATGTACTAACACTTAAAATGGCAAAATTTGTTTTTTAAATCACAATAAAAAATTCAAGGTAGAAAAAATTTCCCATTTAATAAGAAACTCAGCATTAGAGAGATGAAATCACGTGTTCAAATTTACTGTGCTCAAATGGCACGGTCTAGACTTAAGCCCATGGCTGACTGTACTCCTGTGACTCCTAAGATCTTCTTGTCCTCAGCTAGGGCCATCTGAACTCCCTAATAGTCCACTTCTCACCCCATTATCATTTAGGGACTAAAGACAATGGAGTGGCCCCTCCTTCAGTTAGCTGAAAGGTTCTCTCCTGGAGTCCAGATGGCTCTGGAGGTGAGCCTGGACTTAAAAAACTCTGCCACTGAGTTGATGCCAATTCATAGTTATCCTATATGGGACTGCAAATTAGCATGGGAGCAGTCTCACCTTTCTTCCCTGGAGCAGCTAGTAGGTTTGAATCACAGCCCAGTGCTTAAACCATAGTAACCCCATATGATAGTTATATAATCTGTTGTCAATTTGAGAGGATTAAGAGTGAAGGGGTGGAGTTGAGCCTGCCAGTCAGGGTGCAGCTTGATGACCTCATTTGGAGATGCTGAGGAGATAAATAGCTCACTGGAGGCAGGACACAGACGCACTCCCTGGGACACATTGCAGCTGACAAGACACATGGAGCTAAGCTAGACCACTGGAGCTGAAGGAGCCAAGTGGAGACCCCTGCCAGGGCTGAGATGCTCATGCCAATGGATCCAAAAGGCTTCCCACCCACTGGCCTGTGATCTTCCTGCATCTGGCGTCATTGCATACGTTTCATGAGTCTGAAGAGGATTTTATAGATTGGTATCAAACATATGGGCTAATATCGGACTTATGGACTTGCACTGCATACGTTTCATGAGTCTGATGAGGATTTTATAGATTGGTATCAAACATATGGGCTAATATCGGACTTATGGACTTGATCTAACTGGGTTGGGATGTTTTCTCAATATTCAATTGCTCTTATATATAAAGCTTTCTTATACACAAGCGTCTATGAATTTCTCTATAGGCTACCCAGACTAGCACACCCCAGAACTACTTCTAATGCATCATAAGAAGAGCTATAGAGTCTGCTTTACAAGTTTGTACCATAAAAATAAGTGTTGTTTTGAGAATGCGTTCTAGAGCTATTGTCCATTTAAATTCCTGGTTCTGGCATTTATGAAGCTTTGTGTAAAGAATTTTCTGCATCCGTAAAACTGACATAACACTGTGTCCCAATTTGAAGATGCGTTTGAGAGTATAGTAAAAGTCTATCGACACCACTATAGAGTCCTGGAAGGCAAGAGACAAACAGGAGGCCCAAACAGTGAGGACGTGGGGACTGGGTGTTTCTGTTCCTGTGTGCCCAACTCCAGCCATGGCTGGGAGGGCCCTGAGTCATGGATACTAGGTGGGAATTTGTTCAGAACAAGTACTTTAACTCCTTTGTACTCTGGCTACATCTGACTGTGTGTGCCTGAGTCTGTGTGAGTGTTCTCTTTGCACGTTTATGTCCAGAGAATCATGGAGTGGTGGTGGGGAACTTGAGTCACCAGGGACTCACCGATGTCAAGTACCAGGTACCTGAGGAAAGCTGCAAGGTATATTTACAGGGCAATTGCTGCAAAGTCCTAGCATGCTAACCTTTCTGAGATCAGCTGGTGAGATCTTTCTGCAGGGGTACAATGTGTCATTTTAGGGGTTTACCATTATCCTATTCCTGATGTTGAGTAGTGATTTGTGCTTTATCAGATGTGACCCAAGAGTCCTGATGTCCACACTGAAGCTAGCAATCAAGAACTACTGAGGCCAGCCCCTACCCGTGGTTGTTCTCATGAAGCTGGGAAAATAAGGTGGGGTCAGGTACGGACCCACGATAACCTGGTCTAGGGTGTCCTGCAGCCTTCCTTTAATCACTCAGACTGTGTCTGTTGGAGAGTAAGAGCCTCATTTGTTAAAAAAAAGTATGGGCAGTATTAGTAACACAACAGCTGCAACAGTGGACTGAAATGTGAGGACGGCGCAGGAGCAGGTGGTGTTCTGTTCTGCAAAAGGTGGACATGAGCCAGGGCTGACGCCACTGCGCCAAACAACAGGCGTAGTAAACAAAGCATCCACCCTCCCTTTGTGATGCTACATGTCAGCAAGGGAGATGCCAGCCCGCCAACTGCACGCCGTCTTACAGTGAGCAATCATACCTAGGAAGAGAAGCTGTAGAGGTGAGAGTGCACAGGAGGGAGCCTGCAGTGAGATAAGGGAGGTTCCGGGAAGGATAACACTCAGCCAGGTCAGGTCCTTGAGTATTTACTCTTGTGGGAGTCCTACCTAACAGAGCCAAAGGCCTGCCAGGAAAAGAGCATTCCAGAGAAGAGATCCACTAAAGACGGA